TCTCTCTCCACTGAAACAGAACTTCCTTTGTCACCTGCCTTTCTCCTTCACTGCCACCTGCCTCATTATACTCACCTGAAAGGGGGCTGGGTCTCTCTTTTCCTCTTTGGGTTTTTGTGAAAGGTGACCTGCAAACTCTGCCTTCTCTGGACAGAAGGTGGACACTGCAGACACACCAGTCCAGCTCAGAGTGTCCCTCCGACGGAGGGTCGGAGAACAGAGGATGATCCCTCCTTGATGGGAAACAGGAATTCCCCAGCAGAGAGAGGAAAAACAGGAAGGAGACTAGAATGTATAATTACCAAGCAATTATCCACACCCCCCTCCATTTTCCAAATTGTAAGTTCTTTTTTATGTAACCACTTTCTGTTAAAGAGGAAGAAATAGCTTCACCAGCAGTGTAAAATATATACTTTCTAATGTAAATCAAGAAGCTATTAATACCATTATAAGAACACGGTAGAATATTAATTGATGGAAATTATAGAGTGGAATATTCATAATCAGCTGCAGTCTTTTCTTTGGAAGGAACAAAGGATTAAGTTAGGGAGACAGTAATGGTATTGTTAGTGGGCTATTTCAATGATTTTCTCTGTGGAAGAGTAGAGAAAGGTGAAATTCCAACTGGGAATATTACACTATGCAGATCTCTGCTCAGGGGTATTCGGCTCTGTTTAAACTGCCGAGCTGTGCTCTGCCTTATGATCCAATTGTTTTATTAGCAGAATCATTGCGCGTTTCATTTTGCTACAGTAATAGTGCAGTGTCTGTCTTAACAATAAATTATAGAGTCAGGCAAACAATGGTTTTGTATTTGGGATACAATGAGATATCTTATTAAAATGCAGGCTTCCTTAGGTTCTTGAAATTAGAGTCTTATTTTAAAAATATTCCATTGGGTTTAAGACACTGTTTTGAACTAATCACACTAACAGAATCACTCTTTTGTCAGACATAGAGGACTATGGGAGTTACCTGTTTCTTTAGTCTTTTTCCCATTCATATTTATTCTCTTCTGGAGAGAGCTTATTGGTTAAATAGGAAAGGCATCATTCCTTTGCACGTGAAAGATACAATGAGATCTGAAGCAGTCATATCCTCCCTGCCAAGTTTCTGAAGTGAATATTCTGTCCTGATAATATTCTGATAGCGATAATAATACTCCATAATAATAAATCATAGTTTTTGAATGATCACCTTATCCTGGGCACTGCAGAAAGCAGTTACATAGTTTACTTTGTAGGATCCTCATTCTAGCCACCTAGGTGTAGATACTGTCATTATCTTCATTTCACAGATGAGAAGATTGTGGCTTAGAAATATTAAGTGGTTTCTCTCATGTCACATAGCTTGGTTAATGTTAATAACCAGGTCTTGAATCTCTGCTGTCTGGTTTGTGATACTTTTGACTTGTCATTGCTGATTAATTTTCATTTCTCTGCTCATTTCTCGGATTAGAACCTTTCTGTGTTCTTGAATTCAACAAGATTGAATAGCAGTTGCCTCTCCAGCCTCCAGCACACTTTTGGAGATTGTGAATGCAGTCAGGGGGAGCAATAATTTTTGCAGTCATTTTTGGGCTTTTGGGATCTGGCCTCGAGGGCCAGAGGGCCAGGCTTTGTGCTATGTTTTATGCCCATCATCCTTTTCTCTCAGCCTCTGCAGCACGGAGAGAGGTGTTGTTATTATTTGCACTGCAGTTGAGGCATCTGAAGCTCAGAGTTTAAGTGGCCGCTCAGGTTACCAGCTCTGGTGACTGGGGGATCCGGAGAGCGTTCAGGCCTGTCTGGCCCCACCGCCCGGCCTCTCATCAGCCTCAATGTATCATGGATATCCCACTCTGATTGTAGAGTGCTCTTTGGGTGAACACAGGAAACTATGTTAATTAAAAAAAAAAAGTTTCTTCCCTGAGATAAAATTGACAAAGAGTCTTTTTCAATTGTCGTCAGGCTCCTCTTCCCAAAAAGGCCTTGACTTTTGGAATTCCATGTCCTTTTTTTTGCATGACCCAGTTTTAGCAGCATTCCCTCCAAGTGGATTTACTGATGTATCTAGACACCTTCTTCATTTCCCACATCCTCCAGGTAATGTCTGATCACCCTGACCTGCCTGCAGCAAGAATCCTTTTAGGTAGGTTAGCAAGAATTACTCTGCCATCTTAGTAATTTTTCATCTATGAACCCTTCCACTCTGCTTGCCCTTGGCTATAAAATCCCCACTTTGTATTCGGAGTTGAGCCCAGTCTCTCTTGTACTACAGAATCCCATTGCAGTGGTCCCTATAACAAATGCAGTAATCCCCCAGATAAAGTCTGCCAGGAGTAATTTTTCTTCTTCTGCATTACCACTTTGTTGTTGAACTGGTTGGGCCCAGTGGATTTGGGATGGGAACGCCAAGTAGCCACTGTCCATCTGGCAGAATGTCAGTGGACAACCTCAAAAATTAGAACGTGCATTTAGAAGACAAACCAACATTCCGATGCTTCTGCATTCGGGTGGGCTCAAAATATTTCTTCCTGTGTGCTCCAAATGTGATAACTCCTGGGGATTTCTTTCCTTGTATTTCTCACCATACCAACATCTTCACCGTCTGCTGTCCTGTCCTCTTATCCTGGACTCCCTGGGCCACATGGAAGCTTTACTCAGTAGGTGCTCCCTTGTAAATAATCGAGGGGCCCCTCGATTACTCGGTCGATATTCATAGAGCCTATGTGCCAAGATGGTGCTGAAGTGGTAGGATGAGCGGAAGACAGTTGTCATCTGTCAGACCCCAAAAGCCCATCTGTGACAAAATTTTCACTAGTCTGTTTAAAAACAAGGACAATATAGACAAAGTAGTGAGTTTCTCATAAAGCACATAGTATGCATTTTTAAAATTTATTTTTAAAAATAAATTTTTTTCATTTATTTTAGAATTGTATCCTTTACCCACCTTTTTAAATGTTAAATATTTTTTCCTTTCACAATGATAACAGAAAATAAGTTGGTTTCCTTCCCTTTTTTTGTTTCTTTTTTTTAATGTGCTCTCTCTGATTTCATTGTTATTGTTTTAAATCTTTAATTTACAAAACAAAATGTCAGCAAATCTATGTCAGCCTGCCTATTTTTTTTTTCCTTTTGATTTTACTGGACCTTAACTCTAGAAGTCTAGGTATTTCTGATGGATGTGTATCCTCTAAGTTTGCCACTTGATGATACTTGATACTCTATTGTTCCTGATTATTTTTTAAATGTAGCCTTGTCTCTCCAGCCTCCTGCTTCCTGTCTCCCTCAAGGTGTGTTGCACTCAGGCATGCTGTAAGTAATCAATACTTGGTGATTTGACTTCTTAGTACCCCCCCCCCCAATAAATAAATAAATAAATAAAAATCTCCAGGTGCAAAACACAAAGGCAGACCTCTTGTCAAGGGATTCCTCACTTTTCCATTCTCAGCCAAGGGGAGACAAGGCCACTCCAGACAGCACCCCTCCTCCCACTTTGGCTCTTGTAAAAAGGATGGGTAGTTTTCTATTGCTATTGTGCTAACTGAAGAGTCGAAAATGTGCCTGGAGTTTAAAATCACCCAATGCCTGTCCTTTCTAGAGCAACCTCATTAACAACCCAAATTTAAAATTGTATTGTTAAGAGACTCAGCACTCTCCAGAACCATCCTCTGATAGAGTGGTTGTGTTTCTTTTTTTCCAGCCTATATTTGACCCCTTAACTAACATACCAGCTTAAATGCCTCTGAGTGGGAAAAGAAGCTGAAACACGCACATTTCGAATAGACTCAGCATCTGCAATGGATGGGCAGCTTGCTTTCTTTGTAAAGCAGCTATGGGAATGCCACTGTCCCGATATATCATAGTTAGGAGAAGTAGTTTGTTAAGAGGGGTATTTACACCCCCCTCCCATCCCAACTAAGGACATTGTTCACTTTAAACTTAGAATTTAGAATTTATGGCCATCAAAGTATTAGTCCACAGCCAAGCATCATGTTTTTTTTAAGGAGGTCAAAATTTACCATAGGGCTTTTTAAACACTTAATGTAATTAACATTAAAAAAACCACATCATTATTTTCAACAAAAATGGACTACATTTGTAGTCTCCTCTTTTTATTCAGTATGTTCATTTAAAAAGTTTAATAGATTTAATTTTTTTGACATATTTGTTATCAATCCTTTTTGCTTTACTTTTATGTAAAGGATATTATTTACCACAGATACAGAAGCACAAATTAGATGGTCACTCAGGATTTCCTCTTTTTGCCTTTTGGAGCCCATGAAGGTGAGGCTTTGTGTTTTCTACAAGTTGATTACCAGGAAATGAAAGAAAGACAGAACATAAGGGTGGCTGGTGCCTCGTTCCTGCTATTTGGGGAAAGGTCTTGTAACCTTCCTCTGAGCCCTCAGAACAAAAGCAAATCCTGTTGACCCCTCAGCTTAAAAAGTCAAGAAATATGCCAGCTTCTGATGAATCAGGGTGAAAAGAGGACTGTGAAAATTAGTGACTGGAAATAGGAGCAGGTCCAGACAAATGTGTAGCAAGCCTGGTTATGGGCATTTCCCCGGAACCGCACGATTTTTTCCTTTTTAAATAGGGGCCGCTATTGTCGTTCAGAAAGCCCCAGGCTGTTCTGAAAACAGGCAAAAATCAATAGCCCACTTGTTGAGGATAAGTGAATTAGTCTGTGTTGAATGTAACCGAGCACCTGAACACTTGAGTGAGCAGGGCTTGTTGGGGAAAAAGGACAATTGGAAGGATTGTCTCGAGACGTCCACAGTGGTGCACATCGCTGGTTAATTATGTCCAATGATCGTTTCTGTGCAGGACGAAGGCGAAGACTCTGTTTTTGTTTTTGTCTATCTGTCTGTGACCTGGCGGAATGAATAGAGTTCCCCACTTCTCCAAACAGTCAAAGTGGTGGCAAATGGGCCACAGATGAGCAGGGAGAAAGGAATGAGAGAATGCAAATCAGATGAAAAGTTCCTTTTATTAATCAGTTAAAATATAAAATGA